TTTTTTTTTTTTTTGTTGTTGTTTGTTTGTTTTTTTTTTCTTTTTTTTTTTCCTTAGCTTTCACAAAACCGTATGGTAATTTTTAATCCCAGTAATACTTTTCCTCTCCCATAATCCCCATGTTGATTCTTCAGAAACACTTTTCTTCAACCTTCAAAGGATTCCTGGTATAATATATCCCCCAGATTTTTTGCCTTGCAGCATGCTGTCTATTTTAGCTAATTTTATACAAGTTCTTTCTCTTAGCCTTGTATTAACCACTAGCAATTCCTTTCAATCATTGCCACTCTCTTTTCAAAAGTGGTGTTTAGTCAGACGTTTCAGGTTTTCTTGTTTTTTGTGATATTCTCTCAACATAGTGTCTAGTGTCTCACAGCACAACAGGCCAAAACACAGAAAACAGCTTTTTTGGTGGGAGGAAGTCGAACATCTAGAATCTAGTAACCAATGGCATCAGAGATTTTTGTGTCTCAGATTTTCACTGGACTCTAATTTATGGGTAACCTTTTATGGCGTCTGTGAAATGGCTCATACAGTCTCATATGGAGTATATATAAAGGGGGAGTGTGTGACAATATAAGATTAAGTATGATGATTAAATATTTATTATTTACTATTTGCCTTTCAGAAAGGGCCACACAAGTTTGTGGCAGCCTTAGTGAAAAACATTTTGATGACAGAAGGTTTTTTTCAAAGGGTAAATTTGCCAGATTTTTAACGTAGTCACTTGACTGAGCAGCTTTTCCTCTTGCAGTGATGTCCTATTTGCTGCCTTAGGTACCATGAATCCTTCTGGTCATAAACACGTAACACCCCAAAAAAATTCCTTATGAGGAAACATGGTACTGATTGCTCATACTATGGGCTCTTTCACTTATCTGCTGGCTTGTTTAGCCTGATGCTGGAAACTGCTGAACTTCCATTGGTGAATCAACCCCTTCTCCCGTTCGCCTTCCTCCATCCTTTGCTCCCTCCAACTCCCCCTGTGTTTGGCACTTACAATGTTGTGCAGGCCCTGAGCAGAGGAACCCCCTTGTTCTTTTTTCCAAGCTTTCTATCCATTTTCATTCTCTGCTGCCAATGCACACTGAGCAGCCTGGGATAGATGCATTGCTTGCAGATCAAGCCCTACAATTTCATGAATGTACCGACGATGCATCTTTAGTGTCGTATTAGAAATCTGATGCTCGATGTGTCAAGCTTTGGTAGTGGGAGTAGATGAAAGGGGGATAAATGGCTTCTGCATTGGCTGGATAGCTCAACCTTAATATTAGTGTAGATACTTAGTATGACTTTCTCAGTGCTAAAGAGAGGGAGACATTACAGGATCAGAATGCTGCCTCCAAAACATAACTAGTCCACGGTTAATAGTTTAAAAGCTCTTGGTCTTATGCAACGATTCTGGCAGCCCTGTAGTATGTATGTACATACATACATACACATAGGCTGCCAAAATCTTGTATAGTTAGATTTGAAAAAGGTAAAGAAAAAGATTAAACATTTCTATCTTAACTGAGATGGCTATAGAAAAGAATTGCCACCTTAGTGTTCACAGTTTATTTTTTAAATTAGTAACAAAAATACTGTTGATTTTAGCAAATACAAGCACACTTATCAAACAAATATAGATTTTTGTAAAGAAGTGGATTTTCCAATAAGGTATTAGAAATTTCCATTTTGTAGAACAGAACTGAAAATACTAGCTAACATATGAAAGTACTCTGACTATGATTCATAAGTAGCCAAGAACTATGTTCAAATACTTCTTCAAAATCAACCAGTAAAATCAAACAATGTAATTTATTCATTTTGCTTGACACTGTTTTTATATTGTGATGTAGCAGGCTAAGTACAATGATTTATACAAAGTACTATGCTTGGAATATTTTAACAATCATTTAATAGGATCTAAGATCAAATGGTGTATATCTCACCATTTCTGCTTTATTCATGCATCATGTAAATTGAATAGCCAAGTGTTTACAGAAAACAAAGATGGGATTTGCATTAGGCATGCCTCTGTTCATACATACAGAACAGAATGAACTTACAAATATGCCGAAAAAACAATGTCTTCAGCAGAACAAGAGGGTGCTTGGCATCTCTGGAATAACTCACATCATTCCAATGCCTGACCACCGAGTAAGGTACTTGCTCTTGGAGACCCTCAAAATTTTGGCTTATAAATATGCATTTGTCCATGCCATGAACAATACCTCTCCGTGAAACAATTTAAAAAAATATAGCTGATAAGACACACAAACTCATACAGTAAAACTTCAACATAATACCTAATGATGACTGGGCTCTTTATATGTGAAATCTGAGCACTCAATTTATCTGTGTCTCTAGAAATTAAATTCTTTTTCCCTAGGTATATAGAAAACCCATTTCACAGTAACAGCTCAATCCTGTATCTTTTTTTGCTCCTGGGGATAGAGAAGTTTTACATTATAAATAAACTTCATCAGAGGTAAGGATCTGTCCCCACTTGTCCCCATTTAAATACACCATGTTATATATATATATATATATATATAAATGCAGGCTTGGGGTCTGTTCCTCAGAGAAATCACTGTCAGAATTATTTTGGATAGATATTACCTGTCCATACCATGAATATTTGGGCCGCAATGCTCTGGGGCCCAATTTCTGCCGTGATCAATCAGTGTTACTGAAATTCCAATATTACTTAGTAATTGAAACCCTGAGAATTATACCAAAATCTTCAAGCCCAGTTGAATTCAACAGTTTATCCTGAGAGATATGAATTTAATGCTACACCGAGCCACATTAAACAGGAGAGATGGCCAAGCTGTACCAGCCTGCTCCTGCTTTTATCATTGAGAAGCATTCGTTATAAACATTATACAAAACCAGGGAGATAAAACCCCATTTAAAGTGAGAACACAAATTCCTTTAGGATTGTGCAAATTATTCATGAGTTTCAAGTCATGAGCTTCCAGCTAATACTATGGCACAAAAGTGGACCTCACTTTCTTATGCTCATTTCCTTTAAGTATAGAGATACCCTATTAAATCCAAATATGCTGCATCTGTCAAGAACTATGCTTAAAACTTTTAAAACTATAATAAAATCACAACATTTTGAAGACCTGAAATAATTAATTTTACTGTATTTCTTATGAGTTCAAAATTCAGAGCATACTCATGCAAATTTTTCTAAAATTGTTTGAAACTGGATTATTTTTTGGCATTTTAGGGTATTGTACTGAATAATACAGATAAATGAGTAGATCAATATTAATTGTCTATAAAGCAGGTCAGGTCTTTTGGTTTAATGTGCTCATAAGAATATAGAGTTTAACTGTAAGATCAGCTTTAATTATGAAGTAAATAACTTTTTAAAAGACAAATTTTTTCAAATTCATTTAAAAAAAAGCTAGGAAGACATGTCTGCAGAAATCTATACCCACACACACGTGCCGATGCAGTACAAAAATTAAAAAGCACTTTGTATAAAGCTGTAAAGAGTTCCAGCATCATGAATCAATGCCAAAGCAAAATAAAGATCCTAATCTGGCAGCAATTTAAAGTTCCAAAAAAAAAAAAAAAAAAAAAGAGAGATAGAAACCTTCTGAAAAGAAAAAAACTCTTCTCAATCCAGGAAAATACAGCCTGTAGCTTTTAATAAGTGAATAGACTGACATGATGTGAAATCACTAGAACTTTGCTTTGGTATTTTTCTTGATTAGAATTTAACAGAGAAGTTTACTGCAGGTTCTGTAGGTACAACGGATTTTTTTTCTCATGGTGATAAAGGGAAGGTGATCAGTGCGTTGGGGAGAGGAGAAAGAAAATTAAAAATGTGAAGTTGCATGAGGTCTTGTTCATGCTAAGTTCTTCATAATAAATGCCAGAATTTGCTTCAGACTTATTTAGGGGAAGAAGAGGAAAATTCTATACAGAAAATAAAGTGAGCAACACAGTGCTGCTTCTTCAGTTCTCACATTTGGCTAAAGCATCAAGGCTGGCCAGGAGAACTGAACAGATGGCATCAGGGCAGGAAAAAAGAGACAAGGAGTCTTTGCAGCACTTCTAGAGTGGTCCAGTTATCAAGCTTTCAAAGAACACAGAGTGCCTCCCAAAGTAACAAGTTAAGATTAATTAAGGCCTAATTAAATATATTATAAGTAACTATAGAAGACATTGCAAAATTCAATTATCTATATGGGTTTTTTACATCCACCACTACTGGGGTTTAAGATTTTAGCCTGTTGCTTCACTAATGCCCAAAACTGAAAACATAACATGCATATTTGCTTTTTAGACTTAAAAAAAAAAAATATACAGGTTAATAAATGGAGGGGAGGTAAGTGGACATCAGTGATGTACAGGCACAATTTGGGAATGACCTGGGTGATGGGTAAATGTAGAGAGCTCTTAGGAAACCCTCCCTACTCCGTGCTTGCCAGACAGCTTTAGGAATATCCCATGCTATTTAAAGGACTGGCACGACTCGCGCCGTTAATAAGAAAAGAGCATCGCTTACACAACGCTTCTCCACTTTCCTCTCCTGTCCTGGCTACGGCCCGTGTCCATGTGCTGCTCTGCCTGTAGCACAGGAACGGTGCTGCTTTCACTGGAAGTTTTCCGACTTTCTGTGAACACCTTAAAATAATCTCCCAGCATCGTTCAAACCTCTCGAGCATGTCAGCTGTCGGTATCAGCCCCCCACCCCAAGAATTAGGGTGCAGCTGGAGGGGTGGGCGGCAGTGCTGCGTGCAGCCCAGGCTGGGCTGAAGGCGTACAGCACGACGTGTTCATGACAGCTTCCCTTGACAGGAGTCACTGTGCGTTTGGAAGTTCAAGTTTCATCATGTGACACAGGTTTAGGAGACATCAGGATCAGGCTTGGCCGCTGAGGTTTAACGTTTCTCACCCTAAAATAGCTGCCGCACCAGGTGCAACTGTCTCAACAGCGTTCAGTTTCAGTTGCAAAAGACCCTGAATAAACCTGTCACAATGTGAAACAAAACGCGTTGGCTTAAAAAGTAACTCTTTTAGGACTGTGTTATTTAAATGTAAACATAGAGCGTGAGGGCAGGGAGGTTACCCAGAGCAGTTGTACAACCAGGGCAAGACTGGCGCGAGATTCTCAGCTTGTTCAGTGTCCGCTTAAGGCTGGACCAGAGCGTGGCTTCTCTCCTTCTCGGTGCTGTCCAAGAGACAAAACCCACAGGTTAGCATTACTAATAATCGTAACCAAGGACACTCTCCAAAGCAAATGATAGTTTAGAAAGCCGACAGGTGGTTTATTGCGGCGCTGGGTGAGCGGTGGATTCCTCCTTCTGACATGCACACTGAGGAAAAAAGCACACTCCTTCTATACATTAAAAACTTGAATATTTATGTAATTCCCAAGAAGTACCTGCTTCTTTCCAGTGAATCTAACACATACGTTAAAACACCTGCTTATTTCCAGGGAATCTAACACGTATGTTAAACACCTGCTTATTTCCAGGGAATCTAACACATATGTTAAAACACCTGCTTATTTCCAGGGAATCTAACACATATGTTAAAACACCTGCTTATTTCCAGGGACTCTAACGCGTGTGTTAAATACCTGCTTATTTCCAGGGAATCTAATGCCCGCACTGTGAGGCTGCCCCCGCGCACGCAGACTTGTCCTGGGGAAGGGTCGCTCCTGGGCACGTAGCCTTGCTTATCCTGCCAGCAGGACCCGAGGGGCCCGCTCTATCGCCTCGCTAAGCTGTTGAGCCGAGCCCGGCTCCCGCTCCGCCCGCCCCGGTGCCGGTGCCCGCGCTCAGGGAGGGGTGTCGTGGCGCCGGCCCTTACCCGCTGCCGCTGGTCGCTGAGGCAGAAGGTGCAGATG